TAGAAGGGGATAACTCAATTTTCATCATTTTACAGTGAAACAAAAAACTGTTTGGAGGGTAAACTAAATCCAATTGGATGAATAATGCAATTGCATTTTTGTCAGAAAAGCCTAAGAATTACCCGTGAAAATTTTCTTAAGTGTAGCATCACTCTGTAGACGGTTTTTGTGTTTAAAAATCTTTACTTTGGGAAAATGGACTATGGAATTATGTTTACTTGGTTCTCCGAAACGAGGTGGAATTCGGAGACAATTCAAGTGGAGCTGAGGTCTGCGTAGTCTATATTTCTGTGGTACATTTTGGAGTTACCTTTTTTTTCCCAAATTTGGGTGATGTGGAGTTAAGTTGAGTTGATTCGTTATACATTACATTCATAAAGACACAAGTTGAGTTATCTCCCTTTGTCATTATGTGCAATGGAGTCATGTGGGCTTCGGTTGAGTTCCCTCCATTTTCCAATAAAATTGGGACCGTAAAAGGGTCAAGTTGAGTAGCATCTATTTTTTATGTGGATTTTCTCCTAAACTGTAAGGAATTGGGTCAAAAAATTTTGTGTAGTGATGCAAACTATGCTGAGGTAAATAATGAGATAAAAACTAAATTTTGGAGATAAGTCGAATTATTTCCTTCTTCCGCTTCCTGGATCAACTTATTGCAGTTGTCTGCTCAATTTAAATATATTATGATTAATCATCAATTTTGTTCTGCTAAGTCACAGGACAATTATTACTAAAAGAAGAATCATGAAAAATAAACTATGGGGCAAAAGTTCTCAATCAATATTTTGGCTGAGCGATAGCGAAGCCCTTGCCGTGTTTGGGCGCTCCGAAAAGTGACTGGTCGTGCGTCTGTCTGTCTGTCTGTCTGTCTCTCTGTATGTAATCACTCACGTTTCTCAGCAACTACTGAACGAATAGTATCCAAATTTCACACCTGAAGTCTCCTAAACATCCTACAGGGGGAGTTTATCTCAGATTAACAATTATCATCGTTTGAAATATTCAAAACATCATTTTGAACTAGGTAATTAGCGTGTTTAGGTTGGTAGCAGCGTGTGGCTGACCAATTTCTCATACCGGCTGCCGCGCTTGCAAGCCGTCTGCAAGACGGGACGGCACTTATGCAAAGAAACAAACTTAAGAGCAAAGGGGTTCTCAAATAGGTACTGAGATAGTTTTTTAACATTCTAGAATGATTGAAACCCTTCCGGGGTGTCAACAGAGGAAAATACGGAAACTAAATGTGAGAATGGTTTACGTGTTTCGTTCCCCTCTTCCCCTCTCCCGTCACAGGGGGAAAAGGGCAGTGCACTGAGTGTAGTTGAATAGAATAGAATAGAATATTTATTTTCAGCATTTTTGTTGGGACACATTATTCCAATAAAAATTTTAAAAT